AGGCTAAAAATGGTTTTGTATGGTCAGTGCTCCTGACTGAAACAACTTGTTGCATAAAAATTTATAACAAGTTGCACTGGTAAGAACTTGAGCTGGCTACATTTTTCCTGCTAAGTGAAGTGCAGAACTTAAATCAGGTGTTGCACAGTGTGTGCAGTGTGTGGTTGTCTGTCTCTAAGTGTCAGCCCTGTGATAGGGTGTACCCTGCCTCTTGCCCAATGGCAGCTGGGATTGCTCCCCCCCACCCCCAGTGACCCACTTCAGGATAAGTGGTATAGATAATGGATGGATGGATCAACTGGCAAAGAAAGGAATTCCAATAAAATCCAGAAATCTAATCTGACCACAATGTGCTCATGGCCACCAAGCCTATTATAATAGTTGGGAATTTTTACCAAGATGTCTGATTAAATAGGAGCTTTCTAACATACCCTTGCTGTGCCTGAAGAATACTTTCTTTTTTCTTTTCCACTGCTTCTTTTCAAGAACACATTCTGGATTTATTGAACATGTCACATTCTGAGACCTCCCCTGCTTTTGCATCAGCTGAAACTTTACTTTGACTTAAACAAAGTTTTGATGAAACATTGTCGTATTTCTGCAGCAGGAAAAATTAGATAGGAGCCCACAGTTGTGTTACAGTCAGGAGGACATTCCAGTTCAGTTTGTTTTGAACTTCTTTAACCCCATAACAAAAACCTCTTTCTTATAAAGAAAGGATTATCAAAATAGCTCCTTTTGAACTATTACTTGAGTATCTCCTTCATATAGTATTTTCCTTGAGTCGAGTTACAATATTTCCACTCGTACCACTGCTGCAAATACATGTGTGTTACAACTGTGTAAACATTCCTCAACCACTAAAGTGATCTCTTCGTGCTGCCAATGAAGACTGAAATATCAGGCAGCTTAAAATAACATAAAATAGATGACAAGTGAGCTTTGTTATGAAATGTTTCCCATAAATTGACCTTTATTTAAAAAATCTTAGTAGAGCACATTTATAGAAGTCTAACAAACCAGTATTTATCAAACCAAAAATATTACACATTAGCATCACTTTAGTCTCTGTTTGTAGGTGAATTAATTCTGACTACCAAGTTCAAACAAGGCACTATCAGCTACAGTATTGTTCATTATAACGCTACAGTTTCTATTGCGATTTATTGAGGTGTTTCCATGGATCTTAAATCCTCATTGTTACTATTTGTGACACATACTTTGAGATTTAAATAAGGTTTTAATTGCTTGATCCCTGAGTTGAAGTAGAAGTAGATAACAGTCCTGTCCCTGTTCCATTCGCAGTGGAGGCCTTTCTGTTGTTAGAGGACTGGAACTCAGCCTGTATCTCAAGAAAGGTTTTGTTCTTGGTTTCAGGAACAACAAGGAAAATGTATATTACCACTAAGAAGCAGATGGCCAAGAACACCAGGAAACAGTACTGCTGCAGCCCAATCTGTGAAGATAAAACACATTCTGCTCTTGAGCAGCCAGCTTTTAATCCTTTTCTACTTTGAATGTACCAGAGAGATGACATATTGTCAACCCTTTTAGACACTTACCACAATAAAAGGAAAAACCAGTCCAATGAAAAAGAAGCTGAACCAGTTCACTGTCCCTGCAATCATGAACGCTGCAGGGCGTGCTGTTTGCGTGAACAGTTCAGCGGTCAAGATATTAGTCACGCCACCTTCACAGAAAGAGAAAGAACCAGTTAATCTGTAAGAGTTGCACCAGTTATAACAACAGCAACTGAGAAAATATTTCACTGGAGGAAAAGTTAAAAATTTAGTCAGGTACCTGGTCCTAAGCCAAAACTTAGGATAAAAGCAAAAACACACGTCATGCTCAAGTACGGAACAACTGGGCTGGCATCCTGACCAAAAGGAAATCACAAGAGTTAACACATACTGCTGTAGGAATAATATGAAGATGCATGAAACAATGAGTTAAAAAAGTATTTGTAACTACTTTTATCTTGAGGATAAATACCTGCACAGTGAGTGTCAGAGTGAATAAAATGCAGCAGACACTCATGAGTGTGTATCCTCCCATGATGAGCACTTTCCGTCCCAGACTTTCAATGAACATTCCCTGTGGGGAACACAGCATGTCACAAGGCTCTCTCCAGGCAAACAGTTCTTTCAGTTTTACGCTGACCTTACTTGGGGTTCTGTCAGTTTTGTTCTGTCAGATCTCCTCAGTATCTTAGTATAGTTCTATTTACTGCATTTATTATGTCACATGTTCTTTTGCTGTTTGCATATATTTTAATATAATATCAGTTTTCACAGCGTGGTGGTTAGCGCTGACACAGCAAGAAGGTTCTGTGTTCGAGTCCCAGATGAGCTGGTGCCTTTCTATGTGGAGTTTGCATGTTCTCCCTGTGCCTGTGTGGGTTCTCTCTGGATACTTCGGCTTCCTCCCACAATCCAAAGACATGCAGGTTAGGTTGATTGGTGACTCTAACTTGCTTGTAGGAGTGAGTGTGGTTGTCTGTCTCTAAGTGTCAGCCCTATGATAGACTAGCCACAGAAATGTCCTTAAAAATATAACGCGATACTCACACATGTTAAAGATGTGATGCATTCACAAGCACCAGTGCCAACAGTCACATATGGTATTTTATCAATGGGGATACCGGCTTCTTTGAACACATAATTTGCATAGAAGTAAATCTGCAGGAGATACAGATATAAAAACCAAATTACAAATTAGAAAACAGAACTATCACTTTTCTTTTAGCAACCTTCAGTGGTGTTTTTTAGTTGTAAAAGTTGTGGGCACTGAGTGATAGATTCAACCCTGTGTGAAACTGATGTATCACCATATACATACCGCGTCAATGCCGTTCAGCTGTTGTGCAGCGTTGAGGAGTATGACGGTGAGAAGCTGCCAGCGCACACTGCAATCACCCAAGAGTTCCCAGGGTTTCTTGGCCTTGACACCAACTAAGTTATCATTTTCCTTCTCGATATCCTCTCGTTCATTATTACAGTCAGCTCTACCATGCAGTAGCTTCAGGGCTGCAACATATGACATACATAGTGATTATAGTCTTCTGTACACACACACAGTTTTTCTCAGCTGATCAGACTACAGGGTCAATCTTTGAGTCCTGTTTCTTGCATCAAAGCAGTTTCTTTTCACATCATCATGGTGTTACTAGAATGTGCTTCTAGTAATGCTCACATGCTTGGAGTCACAGTCATGCCTCTGCTGATCCCAGACAAAGGGAGCCCTCATCCTTTTAAACTTGTGCATTAAATAAAGTGTTGCAGGCCAAAAATAAAATCACATGCAATTTTGAAATGGAAGTTGAAACTGCAGCAGTTGCAGTGTCAGTTCACCTTTTTTACATCCCTCATTGTCTCCTTTGTCAATGAGCAGGTAGCGTGGGCTCTCCGGGAACCAGGGAAGGATGAGGAGCTGCAGCAACGCTGGGACACATGTGGTGGAGAGCAGGATGGGCCAGTGCTCTTCTCTGCCCAGGATCTCTCTGTCAGATCACACAATAAGATGCTGATCAGTGTCCTTTTTGAGTGATATAGAATATTTTATCTCGTGAACACATATTTCATATTTGCCTGAGGCCCATCACTTGTCCAGTCAAGATCCCAACAGTGATGAAAATCGAGGTTCCCATTCCCATGACACCACGAAATGCAGTTGGAGCTATTTCCCCCAAATACAGAGGTTGAACACACATGCCAATGCCTATGTAGATAAATATGATGACAGCTACATTTCAGAAGTTCAACATGCAAAATTTAAACTAAATATTATCACACATCAAATACACAGCTCCATGTTTCTCTGTGTAGAGGAATAAAACCTTTATTATTATAAATATTTACCTGCATTTATTCCAGAGAAAATACGCCCAATGATGAGTAATTCAAATAATCCTGTAGGGTAACTCAGACCCATCAGCAGAGCAGCCATTAATGCAAATATATTATTGGTCAGCAGTGTCCCTTTCCTGAAACAACCACATTAGAGTAACGTTATTACAGAAAATAAAAGGTAAAACAACAATTTTGCCAATATATTTATTTAGAGAGTCCATACCTCCCCAGCTTCACAGACAATGTCCCACCAATCGTTGCTCCTGCGAGTCCTCCTAAGGTGAATATTGACACAGTAGTGGACCAGAGAAGCGTGAGACCGTGTTCTGATATGTCCGTTTGGTAACGCTCCCTCCAGGTTTGGTTAATGAAATCCTGCACATACTGGAGATAAAAGCAGAAAAACACTAAATGTACATTTAGAAATTAAAGTAAAAAATTTACAAAAATATTTAAAAGATATATTTGTGCATGCAGATATCACTATAGTGAAGATATACTCTGGAAAATGTGATTTATGTCTATTAACCACAGACTGTAACTGGTTAGGTGTGGAACATGAGTACAAAAATGTTCATGGTCATCTGATGTGTACAGCTATAACACTGTGTTGTGGGCTATTACCATTGTGGCTGCATTGACCACAGATAAATTATATCCATACTGAAAGGTTCCCCCTATGCAAGCAGCACAGGCAGCCAGGAGAAGTGATTTGTTTGGAAGCTGCAAATAAAACAGAAACTGATAAGATACAGTATGTGTCGTTCAAAACAAACAAGACCGAAAGCTGCACCCCACCGTGCTTTTAGATCCGGCTTTTGCTTAAAACTCTTAAATCAGAATCCACATACCTTTGTACGTGTTGTATCTTTGATTTCTTTAATAATCAGAGGCTGATATTCAGTCTCTGCTGGCATTTCGTCGCTGTAATTTGCTCAGAATGTTGTCCAGTATCGTTTGTGGTTTGCGCGCAGAGTATCCTTCATGTAAAGAGCGCTCTCTCAACAGGAAATTTACATTTGAAGGGAGGACGAGTTTATTCTGAGCATATCACAGCTGATCTGATGTCATAATGTGACCAGGTCATTGAGAATCGGATACATTGTTCCATGTTTTTCAAAATTTCACTCATTATAACTGTATCAAAGTTCTGGATTCAGATCAGAAAGAATGTAGGCTACATCTCGACCCACTCCTATAAAAGTTATAGAGCACAACTGATTGTATTTCCCAGCCTGGCCTATATAACGTAAAGTTATATTTCAAATTAAATTAAATGAAGGCCTGCAAACTGTTGAATAAAGGTAAACAGGCTAATACAAGATTATATAGGCTTTACAGTGATTTAACAGTAAACGTGGCTACACATTCAGAAGTAATAGCCTAAATATGTTTAGTGATGACTCCCCCTATGTTTACAACTGAGAAGAGCAGCAACTGAGAAGGGATGTCTGAGTGCTGGATTAAATAGGGCAGGTAAAATGGTGCCACTTTAAAGCTTTATTAGCGTTTTTTAAAGTTGTAATGAATGGCTTTTTTAAATTGATGAGTCTTTTATATTGCTTTCTAAATACACAATAGGTCATTAATGAAAATAATGCATGGTTGTGAAAGCTGGCTGGTGTTTATGCTACACCAGCATGACACTTGGTTTATTTTACATCATGAAGACTCCAAAAACCAATCAAATTAACATCTTAGTATCATTTTATAACTGAATACACGATGACTGATTTCTTAATGAATTATCAACATTTATAACTTCATTATTACCAAACAGTAAATAGTAGCATTAACCAAAAGGATTTTTCAGACGCTGGTATTATTAATGGCATCTAACTAAAAGCATTACAGATTGAATTATAAACAGCTCCACACACGTCCGCTGTGCCAGTAGTGATAGAATAATGATAGTAATGAATAACGTGGAATGACACAGAAAGCACACATTTCCATTGCAGCCTCCTTTGGTGTTACTTTGTCTATACTGATGTATTTACTGCTGTCCTGCCACAGTCAAACCCCCCAGGCGATGAGTTCAATTCATACTTTGTTGAAAAGATCAAACTTACCTTTTTCTTTGTTTCTACGGATCCCTCACTGAAGTTCATTTTGGCTCCCGTAAAATTATGTTTGAATAATCACTTTATAATAGATGTTCCACTTGAGTCGAAGCAGTTAAATAATGACAGCCTGTTGAAAGGTGCAGCATATGAGCGGAGCTCCACGGGGCAGGCTAGTCAACTCTTTAGCACTATCCCTCATGGTGCTGAGGTTTGCTTTTGGATGGGATTGCTGGCCCAAACATAGAATTAATGTTAACCCCTTGTTGTCTAAAATTAATGGGGCCCTTGATATGATATGATTCACCATCAAGGACTATGTATAAACCTATTAAAAGTTTAGTTTAAGTGCTTTCAGACAAAACGTATCATTAAGTCAGTAGAAAATATAAAAGAAAAAAAATCAATGAATTTTATAAAACGTGAGTGCATTTTTCTTTGTACCGTGGCCTTGTAAAATATTATTCACTCACATCAACGGTTGCGACAATGTTTGACTCACTTTAGGTTACTGATGGAGTAATATGTTTCTAAACACAAATGCACTTTTAACATCAGTTGCTCAAGACTGCTGCCAAAATACTAAACCCAAGCGGTTCAAGGGCATAATGTTCTGCATGAATGACCCATAGAGTTCAAAAGTTTAACAGGCAAAAATGTTTAATCTTGTAAGAGTCTCCAAGAATTTACTCATGCCACTAGTTAGCCATTTGAGCCTTAAAGAGAAAATCCACCCCCCCACAGCAGAATTTACACTTCCTTTATGACAGTGACTGCAGACTGTGTTGTAATGATACAGTATCATCTGCACAGATCCTGCAGCTGCTCCAGTAGATAAAAGAAACAGTCATGTGACTGCACAAAATATATACTACAGACTTCACTTCTTTAGTTTTACATACCCTGCTAATGCACCGTCTCAGCTATAGTGTAAAGCCACATCTCTACAGTGATATTCGGGTAGCCTGCACTATGATTAGAAAGAAAACGGTCTCTTTGAATTGTTTTATTGCCAATTACAATGTATGACAATTGAAATGGTCTGTGCCCGGTGTCCTGCCAGTGACTAACCACTGGGGGGCGCTTTATCTGCACTGGAGAGTCTTGGTGCAACCCCGAAACTCTTCCCCCGGCACTTCAGGAGAGGTAGCAGGTGAATGTGAGCATAATGTCAGGTAGAAAGTCCCGGTTTGTGGCGAACCCTCTGGAGTCTGCGATCACCACACCGAGTGAGAGGATACTGAAGGAATGCCACAGTTTGTATGTGGACAGTGACAACGGTAAATAATCAATAACGTCGATTAGTACGACTCAACGTTACAGCGAAGTTTGGACCATAACGCGTGCATAGTTGTGATGGTTTGTAACCGGCGCTGAAGTTTGCATTGAACGTAAAAGTGGAATACCGGTCGTTTAATGTGTGAAGCAGGTGTTGGTGGGCAGCAGCTGTCTGTCAGAAAGATGACACGACCTCCGTCTAACGTTAGGTCTCACTGACTGAACCAGTCTGCTGCCAGTAACCCAGACACACACACACACACACACACACACACGGTTCCGTTTTAAACATAATGTAAGTGGGCTTGAACAGTAGCCTCCTGCGGTATGCTTCAGAATAAGCTGTTCAGTCCAGGGGCTGGTTTAAAAACGAGGCTAATACTGAACCAGCCAAGATCTTCTGACTTTCAAGGTCCTTACAGTGTCTTCATCGATAGTCCTGTTATTCTGTGTAGTTTACTTGCTCTATATGTGTGTACAGTCGTTGCTCTTGCAGCATTTCAAAGAAATGCCTGACTCTGTATCCTGTCCTGTTGATGACAGTATAATAGTTCTGGTGTAACAGAAGGGACAGACACATGAGAGGGGTCACTGGTTTCCTTCAGCAACAATTTGAGCTTTCACTTCTGAACTCCATTTGTAACACCTGTCCAGTTTTTAACATTTTATTTTACAGGTTCATAATTCATAAACATTTCCTACAAAGTTTCCTGAAAATAAGTCATTTGGTACCAATTATAAAGTAAACAGTGATGTGTTTTAGGGCTGCAAATAACAATTAACCATTATTTTCAGTAACAATTAATCTGAAGATTCATTTTAAAAATAAAACAAACACCCATTGGGACTTCCCAGAGACCAAGGTGGCATATTCAGATGTCGTGACCAAAATTCAGACACATTCAGGCTGTGACAGAAAAGCAGAAGTCTCCAATTTCAGAAACTGGAAGCAGTTAATGTTTGGTTTTTTCCATTATTTTTGCTTAAAGAATTGTTGAAATGATTAATCCATTATCAAAATAATGGCCCTTTTCTGTTGACTGACTAATTAATTAAACGACTGGTCATTTGAGCCACGTGCATGTATGTTAAATTGTCTTTGTGTGTGTTTCCAGGCCTAGTGAAGATAGCCAGCAGCATTGGAGTCCGACTCCTGCCTCCCAGAAAGAAGATCATCGTGATGATAATGGGTAACCACTCTGCAGGAAAGAGCTCCTTCATTAACTGGTAATTCATCTCATTGTTAATGGGAGTTACCAGCATTGTGCCAGGCAGCCTGACCATCACATGCTCTGCCTTGTGGGTGCAGGAGGGTTTGGCGATGAGTGTGAACACCACACTTGGCATTTACAACACCCTTTGTAGTTTGGATGTGGTTCAGCTGTTTTGCCACAGGACATGGTTTTGTTGGAAACATATATTTGTTATTTTGTGTGCCAGTTTGAAAATGAAATGTGGAGGAAAACCTGACTTCACTTCTCATTTTATTCTTTTTCTTTACCATTTTGAGCTAATTCTGATTGAATTTGGGCATTCAGGGGTAGATTAAAAAAACCTTTTTAATAATACCCGTGATTTGATCTCCATCTCTTTGTGCTGTTGATTTAATTTATATTGATAATTGGAATTTCTGTTCATTCAACACTCAGTAACCTATAATCACTAAGTGAAGAATTATTTGCAAATATAAATATGCAAAAGTATCTGCATTCTGTCATCTAACTGACTAATGGTTTGGCTTTAGTTTTTTATGTTTTTCTGTTTGATGGGTTCGCTGCCCTCAGCTGAGTTAATTCAGGAGTGTGTTTTGAGCCGCCTCTGTAAAGACTGCAGCCGTCAGTCAACAGTTGCTGACTTTACATACTGTTTAACAGGGGGAGGGCCCTACCCCAGCTCTGTTGGTGTATTTAGCATCAGGCTGTGTTTACAGCTCAGAGTAAATAGAAATTAATATATTAGAGAAGTTAAACTCTATGTACTTTTTATACCACCATTTTATTTCCACAGCATTTGGTTGGGGAACAATAGGGATTTTTTTCTGAGGAAGCACTGGTTTTAAATGTTAAGATTAACAACTGTCGCAGCCTGTTATACTCTCATCTTATGCAAATGTTAGAGATGTTAATCTTAATACCTTTCACCTGTATTATTAATACAGTAAACAAGGTTGTTCTTATCTCCGCTTCTCCCGAGGTGTTCATTCAGCAAACACCAGTGATTACAGGGACACATCAACCAGCCTTTTAATGTATAAACTGACCTTTTGCTCAGGCACCAGGTCACTTTATTGGATGCTTAAACAGCAAATAGTTTAGTTGATTGGAAATCAAGTCACAACAACTGGATAATCGGTTCATTGTTGCAGTTATTTATCAAGAGAGAAATGCTAAACGGTGGCTTGTTTGAGCCCCTCACACTGCAGCTGCTCCCTGTTTTATATCGTTGTAAGTTGAATATCTTTGGGTGTTAGAATGTGGGTCAGACAAAGTAAACCATATGAAGATGTCGCCTTGTGCGGTGAGGAATAATGATGGCATTTTTCTCAATTTTTATATTTAAAACTAAAATATGATAATGATGTTATAATTACAGTAGTAGTCAAATTTAAAGAATCAACAGAAACAGTAATAATGAAAATGATTGTGCGTTGGCTTTAGATCCTGTGCAGAAATCAATTATGATGCATTCGATGCCTTTTGCTGTTTTAGGTATGTTGAAGAGCACATACAGAAAACAGGCGTTGCCATTGAAACACAGGGGTTTACGTTCATCACAAGTGGTCGCAAAAGAGAATCTTTGACGGTAAGAGCAGCATGAAGACAGCTGACATTTTCAGCCCTTGTATAGAAGGCGTTTGGTGTGAAAAGCATGGTACATGCTTGAAAGTAGAACTTTTATAATGTAAGCAGCTTTGTGTCTCGGGCAAAATTTTACTGCTTCCAAACAAATCTGTTTGTTGCCTAACAGCATTTCATACACAGACAGCTTTTCAGGCTTGTGGTTTTTGAATGTTTAACTCCAGTAACGGGAACTGAAGCTGCAGCCAGTCATAAAGGTTGATGAAGCGACATGTTTGATGTCAGCGTGTGTGGAGGGCACTTCCTCAGTTACTGGTGATTTCCCATTCTGTATGCTGCTCCAATGACAGACTCTGTAGTATAAACACACAAACACACAGAAGCATCTTTGCAGCATATAAACAGGCTCAGGAGAGGCCCGTCTCCCCGTCTTCTCTCATCCTTACCATGTGCTTTTCTACCCGGCTGTGAAGGTGATGAAGATGAATAATATATTGCAGTGCAGGACTGCAGAGTGGAAGGATTATCTCCAATGTACAGGAAGAGCTTAAAAGGGGGGGTGGGGGGTGTACTGATCTGCAGCATAGCAGCTGGTGTAGCACAGAGTGTGAAGTACTGAGGAAAGGGAGGACTCCGGGGTGGGAGCTCAGGAAACGCTGCAGATTCATATTTATCTCATCAGGTTGTCTCACCTTGTCTTTGTAACTCTTTCACAGGGGAATGCGACGCTACATCTCTACCCGCACTTTCGACCACTCCTTGAGTTCAAAGGTAAGACCTTTTGTTTTAGTATCAGGAGCTCACAAGGGGTTTCTGAAATGTGCAGTGGTTTGCCAGTGGTTGTCCATAAAATCAGGAGTTACTGCTGCTTACTATTGTACTTCTCCTCTAATCGAATATTTTTGTATATTACTAAATTGGGTGTGTACATGCAGATTTTGCCCTTAAGGCAATAAATCACATAACAGAAACACACCTAAAGATCTCACATAATACTTTATGTATTCCATGGAAGATAATCTCCCTGCCTTTGGTATTATTGCAGTGGTAAAATGAGCAATGCACAACACGCTCTCATTAACTTGTCCAAAAACTCAAATTAATGTTGGAACAGCAGCAAGATGCAGCATCAGTCCAGCAGCACTATAGGAATAGTGAACAGGAGATAAATGTAATGAGCTACAGACAGAGATTGGCTCCTTTGAGGTGTAAGATACTGCTCTGCTGTGTGGCTCATGAATATGTCCCAGTCTATGTTACAGACTTACTTGCTCAAAATTAATGTTTTAGATAAAGCAAAGTTTAAATTTAAGACTAAATCCTGGCTGTCTAATCCTGACATGTAACAGTGTGATTTGAGGTCGAGTTTAGGTGCTTCACCTCGATGACTCAACACTGAGTCACAGCCTCAATGTATCACACCGTGGTTACAATTCAGCTCAGGCTCCTGTTCTTCTCATTACATTTGTGCTATTTGTTTCTCTGATGTGCAAGTTGAGATTGCTCCCGCATAGAAGTAAGAGACGTAATTAGTGGCATATTGTTTTAAGACGGTAGGTCTCAGCTCTGTGTGCGTCAGCAGGGGTCTGGAGCCACGAGGATGCTGAAGTGGTTGTGCAGAAAGTCTGGGTGTGCCTGTTGTCTGAGTGGGAGCATCAGCATGGAGGGAGGTGGGGCTGTAATGTATGTGTGTGTGTGTGTGTGTGTGTGTGCGGTGACAGCGAGTGTGAGGGTTCACTGGGTGCGGACCGGAGCGCTCATGGTATGGCTCGAGTCGCACTCCCCATCGACAGCAGTGCAGTGGAGTCAGGAGGAGCTGCTGAGAAATGTCACAGCCATAAGAGACGGCAGCAGCAGCACTGTGCAGGCCTGAGCCTCGCAACCCCAACAGCCTGCTCCTGGAATACGCTTTTTTATTTTATTATCTGAACTTCATCACCGCCTCTGGAAATACACTATATCAGGCATTTGTTTACCTGTCACAGCGACTGAGGATGACTCATCAGAAAAGCACTATATATCCTTATGTGGGAGCAGCTGCTGTGTATACAGTCTGGTTTCCTTTGGGGAATGCTTGGGTAGACTTGTTAGGATTGTTTTAGAGTCACAGAAAGGATGCTTTACTCTGCCTTTTAGTCTTTATCTTATGAATCAGGAGATTAGACTACATGATGCATGGGAACTGTCTTCATCACAGGTCAAATGATTAGTTACTGATTGTCTTTAGATATGTTTGCACTGTGTTTGGTCTGACCTGTTTTGTCCAACAAGTTATTTTTTTTTATGTCTTGGTTGATACAGCATTATCTGTAGCCTTTGCCTTTTGCCTCGTGCACAGGCTCTCCAGTGTAGTCGTCTCAGTTACAGTCATTCGAGGAACTTAGCACCCATCGGCGAGTATCACTCTGATTTCCTTTTGACCTCTCAGGGGACTCAAAGGGCCGTGGATGACTGTATATGTATCAAAGCTAAATGACTCACTTGTTTTTAAATTGACTTACAAAATTGCTGTTTTTGTCATTTTTTTTTGTTATGCAAAGATGCACGTGTACTCTGCAGCCTTACAGCACTAACGTGAAGCTGCTTAGTGATATCTGCATATATATAAATAATGTTTCTCCTCTGGCAGCCTCATGTGATAGGAGGCAGATATTTTGATATTGTAGCTGTACTGATGTAAGAGAAACACAAGGGAATACTAATGTGCCAGAGCAGCAGTGGCCCCACATGCTGCAGCACAAGGCTGTGATTTGTGGCTGTTAACACCTGCCTCTTCCG